GTGAGGCTAGGCTATTGGGTACTGATTTGGTTCAGGATGCTTTGGAGAAGGTTAAATTAATTCAGGAGCGGCTTCACACGGTGCAGTCTGGACAGAAGTGTTATGTCGACCTGAAGTTCCGTGATGTTACTTACATGGTTGAGGAAAAGGTTCTGCTCAAGATTTCACCCATGAAGAGTGTGTTGAGGTTCGGGAAGAAGAGCAAGTTGAGCCCTCGATATATTGGGCCTTTTGAGATACTTAAGAAAATTGGAGAGGTGACTTATAAACTTGCCTTGCCACCTAGTCTATCAGGTGTTCATCCAGTATTCCATGTATCCATACTCCGAAAGTATGTCGGGGATCCATCTCATATTCTGGATTTCAGTACAGTGCAGCTGGACGGTAATTTGACTTGTGAGGTGGAGCCGGTGGCTATTTTAGACCGGCAGGTTCGAAAGCTGAGGTCAAAGAATATAGCATCATTGAAGGTACAGTGGAGAGGCCAGCCAGTCGGAGAAGCTACTTAGGAGATTGAGCAGGAGATGCAGAGCAAATATCCACACCTATTTGAGACTCCAGGTATGATTCTAAACCCGTTCGAGGACGAACGTTTGTTTAAGAGGGGGAGAATATAATGACCCGGTCAGTCGTTTTGAGTATTAGAACCTCGTTCCCCCATTTACTGCTTAATTTATGCTTTACAGTTATTTTATGACTTACCGAGTTAGTTGGTTCGGGTCCGGAAGGATTTCAGAGTGAAATGAGATACTTAGTCTCTTAATTAAAAACTTAAGTTGGAAAAATTGACCGGATATTGACTTATATGTAAACAACCTTGGAATTTAATTCTAATGATTCCAATAGCTCTGAATGGTGATTTTGGACTTAGGAGCATGTCCGAAAAATTATTTGGAGGTCCGTAGTGGAATTAGGCTTGAAATGGCGAAAGTTGAATTTTGGGAAGTTTGACCGGGTGGTTGACTTTTTGATATCGGGGTCGGAATCTGATTTTGAAAATTAAAATACCTCTGTTATGTCATTTATGATTTATGTGCAAAATTTGAGGTCAATCAGACGTGATTTGATAGGTTTCGGTGTTGTTTGTAGAAATTTAAAATTTCAAAGTTCATTAGGCTTGAATTGGGGTATGATTTGTGTTTCTGAATTTACTTGATGTGATTTGAGGCTTCGACTACGTTCGTATGATATTTTAGGATTTGTTGGTGTATTTGGTTGAGGTCTCGGGGCCTAGGGCGAGTTTCGGACGGTTAACAGATCAATTTTGAACTTGGCATTCCAGCTGAAGAATGCTGGTTTTCTGTCACTGGTTTCCTTCTACGCGATCGCATGAGAATGTTCGCGATCGCGTAGGCTTGTTTGAGTCAGTGATGATTTTGTTTTTTGCGATTGCCTGAAGAGGGCCGCGATCGCATAGCTTTGCGAGTTTGTTATTCGCGAACGCGTGAAGAAGGTCGCGTTCGCGTAGAGTAAGTGGAGCAGAAGTAGAGGTCACGTGTTTTGTGCTTCGCGATCACGTGGACGAGTCCGCGATCACGTAGGCCTGTGAGAGTGAGCTTCGCGATCGCGTGAAAAAGTCCGCGATCGCGTAGGATTAAATCCAGGCAGTGAAAATTTGTGATTCGTGATCGTGTGTGGTTGTCCGCGATCGTGTAGAGCAAATGACTGGGCAGAGAGTTTAAGTTCTGAAAATGTGACCATTTTCTATTTTTACCGATTTGGAGCTCGGAGAGAGAGAATTTTTGGGAGATTTTCAAGAAAAATAATGGGGTAAGTAATTCTAACTCAATATTGGTTAAATTACCCGAATCCATGGTTGTTTTTGACATTTAATTAGTGAATTAAGTTGGAAGATTTAGAAAACTCTCTTGGTTTAAATTGAAGATTTGAGGTGATAGTTGAGGTCGGATTTTGGTAAAATTGGTATGGTCAGGCTCGTGGTTGAATGGGCTTTCGGATTTTATAACTTTTGTCGGGTTCCGAGACGTGGGCCCCACAGATAATTTTTGAGCTAAATTTTAGATTTTATTGGAAAATTAGTATTTTCTTATGAAATTAATTTCAATAAATTTTATTGACTTAATCAAATTATTTGTGGCTAGATTCGAGGCGTTTGTAGGCCAATTCACGAGGAAAAGACATTGCAGAATAAATAATTATACGGCTTGAGGTAAGTAACAGTTCTAAATTTGGTCTTGAGGATATGCAACCCTAGAATATGTAGTATGTGATTGGTTTTGAGGTGACCCACATGCTAGGTGACGGGCGTGTGGGCGTGCACTGTAGGAATTATGACTTGGTCAATTTCATGAAACCGTGTAGTTGAAAAATATGTTGATACTTGTACATTTTTTCCCGTATTAGAGAAATTGATCTATGAATCATGTTTAAATCATATGTTTACACTGTTGGGACCCATAGAGATCGTGTACTTGTGAAATTATTTGCTAAATTATTGTTTTGCACTCAGTCACAGTTCTATTTGCACATTTTTACCTCAGTCTCTCTTATTCATTATTGATGCATCATATCATTATTGTTGGACTGCTTATCATGATTTCTGAGAGCTCGAGAGACTGGAGAGGTTGAGGACTGAGTGAAGCCGAGGGCCTTATTGTGAGGATATTTATGGATTGGGCTGCACGCCTCAGCATGTTTCAATTGATTTATGACATGATTGGCTTGATATAGCGCTTGGGCTGAAGAAGCCCCTCTGGAGTCTGTACACACCCCCAGTGAGCGCAGGTACCTACTGAGTGCGAGTGCCGAGTGATGAGTGACTGTGAAGAATGGGAGACTGTGAGGAAAGAGTGACTGTGGAAAGAGTGACTATGAGGTTGGAGTGAATGGGAGGACTGAGTGACGGTTACTCTGAGAGGAAGCATTGATTTCATTATTTGTTGCATTTCAGTTGTCATATATCACTATTTTGGAAATTTCGGGAAAATATTATTTTCTGTTTCGGTCAAACTTGATATGAAATTTTAGTGAAATCTTAAATGTTGAACTTGAGAGCATGCCTACCCTTTTATATTGGAAAGTACTGTATTTGGGCTTAGCTGAGAAGCTCGTCACTACTTTCAGTTCTTTATTTATTATTGTTACTTACTGAGTTGGTTGTACTCATACTACACCCTGCACTTCGTGTGCAGATCCAGGTGATCCCGAATATAGTGGGTGTTGATTCTTTCACACAGTCGATTTTTCGGAGATTCAGAGGTAGCTTCCATGTTTCGCAGACCTTGTCTCTCATTCCCTATCCTTTTGTTTATTGTATTTGGTCTCAGATTATTATAGACCACATTTTCCAGACTTGTAATGTATAGGTGCTCATGTACTCAGTGACACCGGATTTTGGGAGTGTGTTTATTTCTAATATTTTTGGGATTTACTCTTAAACTTAATTATTATATTTTTAGTATTTAAAAGAAATTATGGGTTATTGGTGTTGTCAGTTTGCCTAGTATTGAGATAGGCGCCATCACGACAGGTTAGAATTTTGGGTCGTGACAGAATCCAGATAATGTTTTTACACAAGAAGAGTTCCTTTGGCTATAATTTTGATTAAATTTGAATGAAAAACTATTTTTTTGTATAATGACATTATGAACGTAGAGTTTACAAAGAGATGCTAGATGAGATACAACAACATAGCATATTTGTATCTTGTATAATAAAATATTTATAACTATAAATACTATAGAACTAATTACACTAAAGTCATTCGGAAAATGTTGAATTCAGCTATATATTATATCAATGTACTAATATTTTTTTCATCATTTAAACATATATTGCGTTTAGTTTTACCTCCATTGCTATTTTTAATAATTTTGTATACGTTTTATATTGATTAACGTGATGCACACGTGCATCGCACGTACACTAAAACTAGTACTATATTAAAAGCACGAAAGCCCTTAGCGAAATATCATTTGCCTTTTTTATCCTTTAAAAATACAGTTCATGCTGGACAAAATAGTCATTTAGTTATTTCTCAAATATTTAGAAATAGTTATTTAATGAATTCCCTAATATTTAGGATTTATTTAGAATTAGTCATTTAATTATTTTTCTACTTTTTAGAACTTTGATTTTTCAATTCCTTCTTGTTTTAAAATTCCTTATTTTCAACTCCATTTAAATTTACAAGTACTAAATTTCAAGCATTTTCAATTTATATTAGGAAAGTTTCGACCACTTTATATTGTTTTTAGATTTAGGCCTTTTTTTTTTGTAAATGAAATTTTCGTCACTTTCAGCTCTATTTAGTTTTAGGTGTAGGATGGAAAAAGGTAAGTATATTAAAATAGGGAAGGCCTTCATATCAATAAAAGGGTATAAAACTCAAGCTATATAATTTTGGTTTTGGTATTCTACAACAATTATGTATTAAAATATAAATACACATTCTAAAAATACTATAATTAGATATAAATTATCTGAATATTTACAATTATTAAAACCATTAACTCAACATCAAGTTCTAGAGATACTTTCAAAATGACACTTAATAATTGCGCGTCAATTATACGTATAATACTTAGATAATTTTTAGAAGTTTATACTTATTGATACGGGTTACACACGCAAAGTGCCCCTAAGACTAGTTGTAAAAAAATTAAAGGCATTTATAATCTATTTCTCGTATTTACACGATGTATTAAGCTTAAACTAGGCACTAAAATTTGATTCTTTTATTTAATTATTTATTTATTTATATAGATTTACCTTATATAAGCCGACAGTGTAAATAAATGTACATCATCTTTTTTAACTATTATAGCAATTTATTTATCTTATTATTTTTAGTTACTCGGTTCACTTATTATGAATTGTTAATTATAATTATCTTCTAGCTTGCGTAGAAATTAAAATAAAGAAAGATGTACGGATGCGCGGTTTTAATTTTATGCTATTGAAATTTGATTGAATTTCGTTTGTGTCCAAAATTTAGTTCAAACAAAATAGCATTCACATAAGATGAGACAACTGTAGTACTAGAGTCTAGAATACGAAGGGAATATCATTTTGCTCCTAAAGGAACGAGGGGGAGTAGCAGGCACAGACTACGATTGACGACACATCTGAATCGTCCTCAGCGGTGAACTCGATCATGGAAGCTACCTCCCAAACCCTAACGAAACTTTCCGACATCAGTAGGCACCGATTAAACGTCGACGAATTTAACGACGCAAAAGACGTCGACGGCGAAGAGGAAGAGTATGACACGGAGGCTTGGGAAATGCTTACCAAGTGTTTCCGAGAGGTTCAATCTGTTCTTGATCGGAACCGAACTCTTATTCAACAGGTGAACAAAAATCATCAATCAATGCTTCCAGATAATCTGGTGAAGAACGTAGCTCTTATTCGAGATATTAATCATAATATCTCCAAAATTTCTCGCCTTTACTCTGATCTCTCTGTAAATATCTGCAATATCGTACGTCAGCGACGGGCATTGGATTTGTTGGAATCTAAGAATCGCAACGGCAAAGCGGAGAGGCGCTGAATCCTGTCTCAATTCACTTGATGACTCCGAACTCGGTAATCTCGATTACTCTTTGTTTTCCCTACTAGTAAGATTTAGTGTATTTATCAGGTGCTATGATCATTCTTAATAAATAAGAGTTGTATGTGTTGACTCATTATTTAATTTGATGGATGTTGTTTGTGGACGGGTGCTGTTTTAAATTTTTTTACCCTTAAAACGGATATCAACTAAATTGTACGCGATTTTAAGGATATTTGGATTGATTCAACATAAGTAATCAAAAATGTTAATAAACGAATTAAAGATAAAATAAATAACCAAACCAATTGTGACGTTAAGTCCAGGCTCGAATTTAAGCTGAACAATAGTTTTGCCCTCGACCGGACCCTCGATTCGAAGCTAAATATGTATGAAGAACTATGATAAAAATAAGAACCTTTCAATAGCTAGAAATCAGAGAAATAGGTTTGCATTGCCTTGATATGCGTGTTACAATGTGTCTATTGAATAAAAAACTTCCCTTTTATATAGCATGGGAGTTTTACCCTTAGTACAATTCTAAAAAAGGTAAAAATCCTCTTTGTATGTCAGTCAATGATACACTACCGATATCGGGCGAGATCCACGCCGTGATATCCGGTTAGGTGCGGATATCAAGGTCCTCTGTTAGTCGTGTTCAACAGTTTGTAGTGTTATCCGAGGTCTTGGAGCTCGTTCCGGGTTCGGGGGGTGTTGTCTTGTCAGGTCCGGTGGCGAGAACCCTGTTCCGGCCTCGATTCAAGGAGTTCTCAGATTCACTCTCTATCTCATACATTCATACTTCTTACTTCGTTTGACTCACCAGAAACTCGAGGTGTGTGCTAACCCTGAGTTCACCCGTATACAGATAGTCCCCTTATTTCTCAAAGAATAGGTTCGCTGAAACAATGGGAAACGATAGATGAACCCTGATTCTTTCTTTCGTACGTTACAACCGAGACAATGAATAAGATGAAACTTCCCCTCAATCGCGTCGCTCTGACCTCGGACACGTGTTCAATTATCGGTTGGTCGCCTCCGAAAGTGAAACGTCGCGTATTGATTACTTTTGACTCCTACAAAAGTTTTGACCTTTTGTACTTCTTTCACTTTCCGATCCTAGCTTTTACCTTCGAATTCTCTAGCGGCTATCAACTCTTTCAAATCTTCATATGTTTACCTTTGATCTTCAAATCTTCATAATTGTTCTTAGGTTCTACCCAGATCTTCATCCTGCCTTCAAACCTTCATACTTTATTCCTTCAAATCTTCATATCTTTCCTTCAAACCCTCATATTTTCCAGATCACAATGGCTAAGACTTCCAAATCAGTTCCTCAGAAAGATGCCTCTTCATCTTCCCACCCGGCCACAAGTACCGAGGCGGCCGTTCTCGAGGTGGTTGCTCTCGAGACGGATGCACCCGAGGTGGTTGCTCCCGAAGCGGACCCAGAGCCCCCCATGAAAAGCTTTATACCTGGGGACTTTTCAATCGGAGACGACTTCAAAGTCGAGAAAAAACGTCAAAATAAGATCGAAGTGAAGGGGCATTGAGATATATATGCTTCATTACCGAAGATACCTTCTCCATAGTCTGAGAGGACTGTAAATAGGAAGGTAAGGACGTGGTAGTCCCCGGGCATGAGGACGATATTACTACCCATGTATAGGGGTATCTAAGTGTTTACACTTACCCATTCACGCTGGGCCTGATAGACCCGGTAGTTCTGGCCTTTTACAAGAGATACGAGGTGTGCCTTGGGCAAATCCACATGTCTCTTTGGAGGATCGTGATCCTCCTACGTTATTTTGTGAACAACACTGAATCTCCTCGGTTCATCCTCGACCACCTACTATGTCTGTATAGTCCCCGAATATTTCGAGGGGGACTAAACAAGCTCGTTCGCCGGGCCAGCAAGGCTCTCTTTTCAAGAATCGATGAGGATCGGGACCGAGGCTGGCAAGGGCGCTTTGTTCAGGTAAAAACTGAAGATTTGATCTCTCCCGAGTTCCTTCCATTTCCCGAGAAGTGGCACACATCTCATAAGTGTAGTTTTTCCTTAAGTGTCGAGTCTCCTTTGTTTCCTTTCTCACCATCAGTATTTGTGGTCGTGCAACTGTTGCTTGGGTTCCTAATGCGGTCCCCTGGGTCAAGGAGTGGATCGAAGGCATTTACAAGCAGATATCGTACTTCGAGCGCTCGTGGCGCAAGATTTCGAAGGGCAGATGGGAGACCCGTTCTCATGGTAAGGCTCCCCTCTAAATAGTTATTATTACACCCCAAACTCACGTAACACTGACCTTTTCTCTTTCCTTCACAGGTTTGCCTAAGACCACCGAACTTAGGCCGCTGGAAGGGGACGAGTGTGTGTCTTTACCCATTGATCCCTCCGTTACGGGACAACCCGGGGCTGCTAGGGAGAAGAAGAAGAGGAAAAGGAAGTCTTCGGGCTCCCTGGGTCCCGAGGTGAAGCCAAAAAAGAGGGCAGCTTCCCGGGCTCGTAAGCCCAAGAAGAACACCAACTCCCGGGTGTCGTATTCTGACTCGCTTCGCCGACTCAGGGATGAGTCTGAAGAAGACGACATCTTTGTCGCTCATGGAACGACCCTTGCCGGGGAGCGGGCTGCAACCGAGGAAAAGAGCCATGAGGCCGATTTCCTTCCGACTCAAAAGGCCGAAATGGAGACGGGAGATGATACCTCCCGAGAAGTCGCTTCTGTTCCGAAGGAGGCGACTAGTGTGATAGACATCATCGAGACGCCCTCCTACACCGAGTCCATGCTTGAAGAGGCCCAAGCAGAAAAGGAAAAGTCAACTGAAGGAGTTCACAGCGCGGACGACCCTCTTCACTCCTTCCTCGATGCTTGGACATGTCCACTTGGGAAGATTTTTTCGGGCTGGTCGACCTGGAGATCCCGAAGAAGGATGCACCTTCAGAAGCTCGTGGGCCGAGTTCGAGCCCAAAACTGGTGAAGCAGTTTTCTGCTCCGAGTGTGGACCCCAACCGCAAGAGAATAGACATTCTTACGGTCTCGAAGGATGCTCGGGTTCTATCTGCTCTAGTGGGCATAGACAGCTACCTCTGATGCCTGGTGACCGAGGAGGACCAGGCAAAGATGAATGGGGTAGGTGCGTCGAGTCTCTTCAACGAGGTGCAGCAGGCGCTGAACCGGGTAAGGCATCAACACTCCCTCATGAATTCCACTTAGGTTTTAATATCTTTTACTATTTTCGTTGCTTTGCAGGCCTCGGTGCTTCACTATCAGATCTTCCTCCGGTACCGCTTCGAAATCAACCATCTCGAGTTCAAGCTCAAGGAGCAGGTTCGGAAGAAGGACATGTGCATGCTTCTCAATGAGCAAAAGGACGGGGCCGTCAAGGATCTTCAGGCCGAGCTGGACAGGGATCAAAAGGAAGCTTCGACCTTGAAGCAGGAATATGCCGACCTGGTAGAAAAGGTAAAGGTCTTTGAAGTTAAAAATGAGGAGCTAGTGATGGTGGCTAACAACACAACCTCGCAGGTCCAATAGAAGATCGACCTGATAGACCAACTCTGAGCCGAGATGAACGAGGTCCAAGCCATGGCCGGCAGGTGGAAAAGTAAAATGGACTTGCTGTCTTTGGAGAAGGAAACCACTAATGCGGATCTGGCATCGATTGAGAACCAAATTCAGGTGGCGAAGGACAAAGATGACAAATGGTCTTAGATGAATGACGATCTCCGAGCATAGCTGAGCCTGGTTGTCATGGAGCGGGATGCCCTCGGTAGAGAATACGAGGCAGTGAAGTCCAAGTTGGATACAACCTCCGTCGATGTTGAAGAAATGGTGGCCTAATACAAGGCCAATGTGGAGGCATCCGAGGTGCACCTGAAGGCAAAGGCCGAATATATAAAGCGGCTATCCCGAAGAGAGACCCTCGAAGAGATCCACGCCCAGGGTTTTGACCTGTCAGATGAGATCGAGGAAGCCAAAAAGTCTGAGGCCGAGGCAAAGAAGCTTTACGAGCCTGAAGGTGCCGAAGGCTCTGAGGGTTCCGAGGGATCCGAAAGCTCTGATGGCTCTGGCGACGAGTTGGGCCTAGGTGAAGACTAGGCATGGATGCCTTAGTATTTTTTTAGTTTTTGTCTCATGTACATATATTTGTTTTATTTATTTTGAGGCCGTTTTTATTGAGCCTTTGTAAATATACTCCGGAATGTATATATGAAATTTTCCCTTTCTAGCAATAACGTACCTTTACTTTTCCAGCATCTTTTCATAATTTCTATTCATGTAATGTTTCTAATGCCTTAGCATATAATCGAATTTGTTATAGGGCGTTCATTTTTCAGAGGTCCGAACAGGGCCTCACTTCAATACAACTTTATTTGCTCGAGGGTTTGAAAACTCAGTGTGACCGAAGGTGTTTTCAAGATGTTTAAGCAATTTTTAGACGATATTTTTGCCGAGGGTAACCTCTTAGCAGGTTTCGAGTTCTTATAAAGGCCTTACTTTCTGATTACGAGTTTCGGACGTCTCCGAGCCATTTTTAGGGTGGCCGTAGCCTTTCGTATTTGGACACCGTCTCATAGGTTTGGTGCCTCCGGGATTTGGTAGCCCGGGTTGTCCGAACTTTCTTCGAACGACAGTCCCCGAATAGGGATAGCCTGTGGGCTTGATAGTCCCCGAGTAGGGGTAGCCCGTGGGCTCTTAGGATCCTGAATTTAAGAGGCAAGAAAATGCGTAAATAGAAAGGCGAAACTTTCTTTCATTTCTCAGTGTGTAAAGTACATTATCGAAAGCGCATAAAAACGCGTATCATGGCTTGAGTGGACTATGTGAGCATGGTTCATACGACCGTTTGGCCCTTACAGTGAATCCTAACCACCAAGCCTTAGCTTCTAGTATACAAATTTTTTCTTCTTTCCTTGCTAAAAAACGTTGATCCTTAGTTCGAGGGTAATGGCCCCCAGTATTAGAGGTCGAGCTTGAGAGGGCTCGGATACTGTTGACATGAAGTGAACGATCATTGACTCCGGTCTGAGACCGACCTTCCAATCTAGGTTAGCACATTTTACTGTTTCCTCGTTACCTTGCCGAAAAACCCATTTTGGGACAAAACCGGCTCAAGAAAAAAAGAGTGCAACGCGTGCTTT